AAAATTCCCGTTGGCCTTTTGTTTTTTTCTAAACCAACATTTATTGTTGTGTTTCACTGCATTCAGCTGTCGACCACTGCCACAGGAAGCTGAGCAGCAGCCTCGTCATTTATTCATTTATTGCGACAGAAACATATGTTAAAACACGAACACATTATTTCACGAATATTTCGATCCATAACGAGTTTCCAAGTGTGTGTGTATTCAGAGAAATCCACCAACATCCATCCGTTTATCAATGTAAATGTTCCAAAAACAACAGATCTGATGTGAACAGTCACCACCACAGCTGCTGCTCAGCATTTGATCAGGAAAACAAGTGGGAAAAGTTCACAGCAACGGGTGTTTTTTTTTTTTTTTTTATGTTTTTTTTTTTGCCCCAAATTTTCGGTGCACATCCACTGTCGTCATCCCAACATAAGGCATGTAAATCGGGAAAACATTTTTTCCCACGACACCCACCCCCCAAAAAACAGACTCCTGATCTGGCACTGTTTCATCTTTAGTGAAATATACAACCGTGAAACATAAACAGATATTTGTTTAATTTGAAATGAGTAAAAATGCACATAAAGGTAATAACACTGTGGGACTTTACAATATCTTGTCTGTATTTACATTTTACACATTCAAAAAACGACGCACTGGGAAATAAATAAGCGAACAAATTCATAAATAGATTCATAATTAAATAGATTAATAAATAAATTATATTTTTACATCCACTCCGTTGTCACATTATTGAAACACAAACGCGTTCAGTTTTTTTTTTTTCTGTCCTGGTTTCTTGTCAGATTTCATCAGATGATCGTTATATTCATCAGCAGTTCTTCTTTTTTTTAATGATTAATATTTGCCGTCCGTTTAAAAAAAAACACCAGAGTATATGTAAACCCCGAAGAAACACTTTTCATTTCATTTTAAATGAATAAATACGATATTTGGCTGCCTTGCATAGTTGTTTTTTTTACCTTTTCTGCCCAACAGACTGTAGGATTCAGATAAACTTCAGCACTGATGCCAAACTGCACATCTTTGACATTATTCCCATTTAATTCCATTTAAATTTTACCACTAAAATGCATTTAATGGCAGAAAAACTGCTAATACCAAAAACAGTCCAATAAAATTCTGATTAACCGAACAAACATTTTAGGAAATATTTATGAATTATAAATACATTTGAAAGTGAAGATGCATCTTCATATTTTTCATTCGACCCTTTCTGTTTGTAAACAACATTCCTATGCGTTTCTCTGCCTTCTATGAACACGCACTCAGAACCGAGGACACACAAAATCATCGAACCTAATTTACAAGGTCGTTCGAGAGTTTTTTTTTTTTTTTTAAACAAATACACGGCTAAAATATTTGAATGAAAACGCTTTGTTTGTCTGGACATCCGTTCCCCTTCCGCTCTCCACACCTGGGGGAGGAAATTGCATCTTGGTGTGAAACTTGAACTGTGTCCAGCTGATTGATTAATTATGGAAGGAGCCATTAACTTCCCCCTGTGATTGGAAGGACTGGCCTCGGACGTGCAGGTCGTAGGGGAAGCGGCCCTCCGGGGAGACGCGGTACATAGAGTTGTGGCCCAGAGCCGTGCGCCCTGACGCACTGCAGTAGCGCACGCCGTAGTGGCCGCTTTTGGCGTAGTCTGGAGGATCCTCGTGTTTTAGGGAAAAAATGCCGTTGAAGTTCATCGGGGGGCTCAGCTGGCCGTCGAAATGCGGGCTGCCGCCCTCTGGGGACGGGTTCTCGAAGTAGGACTCGTAGGCGCTGTTGTAGCTGTAGTGTCGGAACGGTTTGGAGCCGCTCTCCAGGCTGCTGCCGCTGTGGCCCGGGGGTGTGTTCACGTCTGTGCCCGGGTACGAGTAAATGGCTTCGTAGGGCGGTCTGCCGGAGAACATGACCTCCCCGTTGTGGTCTGTGAGGAAATTTCGTGCGTTCAGCTGCAAACAGCCGGCCACCAAGTTTGTCGTGGGCTGAGATAATCCTTTGCACAAAGTCTGCACGAAGGCAAGGAGGTCCGGTCTCTTCCCTGCGCTCAGGGTCTCTGACAGGGCCCAGATGTAATTCTTGGCCAGTCTGAGCGTCTCAATCTTGGACAGTTTCTGAGTTTTGGAGTAGCACGGCACAACTTTACGCAGACTCTCCAGCGCCGCGTTCAAGCCGTGCATCCTGCTGCGCTCCCGGGCGTTGGCTTCCATGCGCCGTAGTTTGCCTCTGTCCATCGGATCCTTGCCGGGCTTCCTTTTCCGGGGGCCTCGTTTTTTAGGGAGCTCGCTCTCATCGTCCTCGTCCTCCCTGTCGTCCTCCTCTCTGTCGGAGATGTCGTCCTCGGCCTCCCTCATCACCGAGCTGGACCTGCCCGCGTTGCTTGGTCGTTCCTTCTCCTGACTCTCAGGTAGAAGTTGTCGAGGATAATCGGCACCGAACCGCGGCTCGCACATCACATGAGTTTCATCGAATGGCAGTGTCAACATAATTCCTGTGCGACCAAGGCAGAGACAAGACCCGTGAGCACAGATCACAGCGACCTCTTTTCAAGGTTGTCACTTAATTACCTCATCAATGATGGAGAAAAGAAAAAACCCAACATAAATGAGATAAACATAAAAAAAACCCTCTCACAAACAAGTTAAAATCATAAACCACATGGGAAGTTACAGCAGCTTGTTACTTTTACCCAAGATAATTGTGGAGAACTTAGCATATTTACTCCAACTAATAATAATAATAATAATAATAATAATACCTGCAGAAGTCGTGCACCTTGCATGGTCCCAAATACCTCCAGTGAATCTGAGCTGCTGCTCCTTCTCTAGTACCAGACCAATTAAAAGAAAAAGAACCTCAGTCTCTGCTTTAGTGTTCCTTCTCTCTCCCTCTCTCTCTCTCTCCCTCACTCTCTCTCCCTCTCTCTCTCTGCCTCTCTCTCCTTCCGTCTCTCTTTGAGGAATGACACTCATGCCAACAACGGGTACCCATGCCATCTGCCGCTGACGTCTTGTGGCAGCCGAGACCACGTGTTCAGTGTCCCGTGGGACCTCCATTCCGTACCGATCATCTGGCAGCTCCGGTAATGGGCACCGGGAGGCCTGCTTTAGCCGTCAGAAACACAGAGCGGAGAGGGATAACAACCAGTATCGGCTTCTCTCCTTGTAAAAGATGAATTAATGACATATTTGTCTCAAAGCAGTGCAGGCTCAGAGAGGAAGACCGACGAGGTCTGCAGACCTGTCAACAGGTGGAAAGGTCTTTCAATGAGTCAAGCAAACCGAGTCAAATCCAACAAATTCTCCAATGTTGGAATTCAAACGTATGTTCCTGAGCTGAGATGAACTGTGCGGTGAAATAGCAAAAAATGGAAACGTGCAAAGACGAAACACAGAAGCCGTATTTTTGATTCTAAAGCAGAAATAATTATGATGCAAAAATGCAAAAAGAAGTCAGTGGAATTACTATTAAAACCAAGGAGAGAATAGAAGGATCTCGACAATAAAACCATGATAAAAGTGTTCACATTAAATGTAAATGTGTCACAATATCTCTATCTGTCAACACACACAGGTGGGGTCACTGTCACGTCTCCTTCAGAGACCCCCCCGGCCCTTCCACCCCCCCCTGATTAAAATACACTAAATTAGAACAATTACAGATGAGGAGCCTCCAGTATAGGCAAAACAAAAGGCACCTCTGGACGAGGAGGATTTTATTTACAGAGGAGGCGTTTACTGCGGGTGTAAAAATATAATGTTGTGTTCAGGGCCTTGGACACCTCCAAGACCCGTGTGTCGTAGCTCAGCATGCAAACATCAGAGGTGATGTCACAGCGAATAAAAAGTGCGAGGTTGCGTCTCCACAACTTCAACACATGTCAGAATGTTGTTGAAAGAACAGTGGCTGCGACGACATTGGCTGACAGCCACGATCGCGACTCGTTGATCTCATGTCAACACAAAGCAGCGGTTAAACTGTCACGGCCGCGTCAGGTCAGGGCGGTGACGGAAAATGTTTTTACTGAGGTGTTAGATTACCTCATCAAAATGATGTACATATACACACACACTGTGAAAACATCTGGTCTCTAGATCAACCACTGGTCTTTCTGAACTGAGTTTGTATGTTCCTGAGTGTTCTCTGTCCAAACACATGTATGAGGAGTTTAAATGTTTAGACTTAATTGGCAGCAGGTCCAGGGATTACAGCGCCCTCTACTGTTGACCCCAGGCATTTCCATCAGCTCTCCTGTGACCCCGACAGAGGTTGAACAGCAGAGGAAGAAATGATACGACAGTACGAATACTTCTGTCATTTGTTTATCAATGACCTCGAACCATCATAACTAAAAAACGGAGCCACAACCAATGTTCAATAATAAATACAAATATTTAATAAAAAAAATAAGGTGAAGAAATTCCACCAGGCGCCTCGGGCCGGTGAATACCACAGTAGTATTCACGGCGCTTGTACCTCAGGACCATAGACATTAAATACACTCTGTGGAAAAGGCCCAGTGGCAAGCTGCCAAATCCACAGTGGGCCACAGCTGGCACTCGATATGGGTATATGCCCTCCTCAGTTATGTGGAACGCACACACAAGCGCGCGCGCACACACAGGCGTGTGTCTGTAAATGACCTTGTTGCAAGGAGAATCAATTAAAGCAACTTATCATTCTCTGTGTATTGGACACCACAGGACATTGATCAGCAGAATGTGGCCGTGGATCCACCGTGTTCACAGATCACATGACGACAGCACACACGCAAAATGCTATACGTTAATGTACTTCGATGTACGAGTACAGCCGGTGTGTACTGTACATGAAAGAAGTGGGGAGAAAACAGTCGCTTCCTCGACAACAACCCCCCCCAAAAAATGCCTCAGCTGGTCGGCTGCTCGTTCTGGTCCAGCAGAACCCCCCGCCCAAATACACACACTTTCAAACACACACACACACACATCTGATGAGTCAAACTCCCCATCTCAGACTAATCAGTTGACTGCACTAATTGCAAATGCAAATATGCAAATTTATATTAATTAATTACTCCACTAATTAGTTCTCTTGTCTTTTCAGGTAATAAATCATAGTGTGGTTGAGAGAGAGAGAGACAGAGACAGAGAGAGAGAGATGCCAGTAATCTTTTGTCTGCCTGGAATCCAGGTCTGGGTCTGGATCCGATCCTGGGATGTTTCCAGAACAGGTACCAGTCACAGCGCCCCCCACTGAGAGTCAACTTTGGAGTTTTCACATCATTTCTCGCCCAATTAATTATTTCCACTGATATTTCATGTTCCATGGATCCACGGGTGGAGGCAGTGTGGTTGGAGAGGTTGGTAAATCAGACATCTCGCTGACTTTCTTGCCTGTCAGCTCCTTTAATTATCACATTATCAGCTTTTATAGACGTGAGGCGTGGTGCGGAGCTGCAAATGAAGCCGCCGTCGGCCGCGTGCTGAGCTGCAAAGGTTTCCTCTCTGGATGTCGGCATTTACATAAAGGGGAGTCCGTGTTGGGGTGAGGCGGTCGAGGGGTTGGGGGTGACGGGGTTAGGACAACGCAGTGTTGACGAACACTCATTACACCGTTTGGAATTGTTTTAAAACACTGGTTTCTTGGAATCAATTATTGGTTGAAATCACACGTGAACTGACATGAAGCAGAAGGAGGCTCCAAGAATAGACGGGGAAAAACGTGCGCCTCCTTTTTTTAATTTTTTTTTGTCACTGACTCTGTAATGAGGTCTGAGTTGTTAATTTTCAGTTTCTCAACAAACCAACAAATCCCACTGTTTATTTTACATCGCTTTACACCGAGGTGCACGTACGAATAAGTCGACACCAAAAGAGGGAAACTAAATAAGGAAGTGTGCAATGAACTGTAAACTCAATAATATTAATAATAATTACCAGAACTGAATGATGGGTAATACCCTGGTGTGTATATATACCTGTTGGTTTACATGTTGGCTGTCACACCATAAACCTGTTGTTTATGTTGTGTGCACAGTGATTATCTTGACTTATACATTTGCACTGTATTCTGCTTATTTTTAACACCTGAAGCGTTAAACACTTTTATTTCTGGAATGTAAAGTTTTCACAGAAATAAAAAACTCCAGGGGATTTGAACACAGCTGAGAACACTGTCGTCTGTCACCAGGAAAAGAACTACAGTATTGGTTTAACTGTGGTTCATTAGAACTTTAGAGAATTTAGAGCTGATAACCATCCCCTTCTCCTATTGGTCAGATCTGTAACAGCCGAGCTGCACTTGCACAAGATACGACAACTCATTTTGTTGTGAAATTTTATTATTATTATTATTTGACAGTTTGAACAGACCGTGAACAGCAGCTCTGTGTTGAAAACCACTGGGTTTTATTTTCTAATCATTTTATTTTGGTATAAAATATATATATATATATTTATGATTTTGAATATAAACATGTGAGAATTGCAGGAGGCCAAACTATGGTTGTGGACTGCAGAGTTGCAGTGTTTGGAGACTGATTACCAGAGGCCAGGTCCTGGACGAGTGCCCTCCAGCTGTGCTGTTCTACCCAATTAGAAAGTCCATATGCTGCCGCACTCAGCTGCTCGGTGGCCACACCTCCCACTCACACCAGTGGAGCACTGGTTTGTGGTTCTGTCGGAGGCTTCACATGTCACCGGTGTCTGTCACAACACAAAGACGCAGAGAAAGACATTAGACCTGTGTCCACATACGCCCGGTCCCATACGTCGGCAACGTTCAGTGACATCATGTCGTCAGAGTCTCACTTCTGTCTCAGGAGCCTCAGCCGCTGCAGCTCTCTCTTAATCCCAGCTCTCCTACTCACACACAAACACAGTGACTGCAGCTGCCACTGCTGCTCTGACAGAAAACACACAGGTATTTAAGTGGGTGGTGAAGAAATGCTAATAGTATTCAAATATGGGGGCATGAATAATGGATATGTTTTCAAAGTGTATAATGTAAAGATGTTGGACCCGTCTTCAGACGGAGACGGGATGCAGACGTGCAGCGCTGCTGCGGGCGACCCCTACTTTTTTTTTTTCAAAGCACAATCTGTTCGCACGCGTTCAAAGTGGCTGTGACAATCTGCCATGGGTAAAAATGCAGGGAGAAAGTGATAGGTTAAATAAAAACTTGTCAGAAAGCATGTCTGAGGGAAGAGTCCTGTACTCTGACGTGTGTCAGCGTGTGGAAAATAAACGGTGGTAACGGATTTAAACACACACACAGGGTAGGTTCTGTTACCAATGTCTGTCGTTATGTTTATTTAAAATTGTATTGAGCACTTTAGTCAGACTGGATAAATACATCAAATACATGTGTATCTTTGGTATAACTATACAGGTGGGGACAAAATGACAATTCTCAAATTCTAACTTAGTGAGAGGCGATTCTGAGGCCGTTTTAGAATTAGGTGCAGGCTAGAGTAAAGGGATGGATTAAGATTAGAGCGTATTTAATAGTTTAATGCATACGTGTCAAACTCAAGGCCCGGGGGCCAAATGCGGCCCGCCAAGCCATTTTGTGTGGCCCGCGGGAGCTTAAAAAGCATTTAAAAAAAGTCCATGCAGCAGAGTTTATCAACCTATGAAATTAAACGTTTTATTACACAGCAATGAACAATATAAGATAGCTTGAATTTTAAAATATTGCCAGATTATTGTCAAATAAAGAAAGTAAATGGAAACATTTTTTTTAAAGAAGTAAACTTGAATTTTTTTCATTTTTTCACTGTGTCCCACTGCGGGCCAGTACCAAAGGACCTATGAACTGGTACTGGTCCGCGAACCGGGTGTTGGGGACCCCTGATCTATACAGTGTTCCATTTAAAACCGGCCCTTCAAGGGGAACTGGCGAACTGGTTTAATGCATCATGTTTTTGGTTTGAAGTAGTTTGAAAGTGAAACTGTACAAAAATGACAATGGAAAGGAATTGTGTACTGACCAAAGACAGTGACAAAATTGTGTTATATATAAAAATAAAAACACACACCCTTCACTATCTCATAAAATTCTGATTATGTGGAGTGCAATGAAAACAAACACTCTTAATTTCACACATCAACAAATAAACATCTTTTCAAACATTGTTAAAAGTTGAAATTTAAACTTTTCTAAAAGTTGTCAAAGTAACATAAACTGAACCACAGCTCTGAGCCACTACGACAGAAACTCATCTGTATTCATTAAGAACACGTTTGGACACAGCGTAGTGATGACTGACCAGGAGCTCTTTCACTGCAGACTCTGTTGTTTGTGATAAAACAGGAAACCCACAGCTGTGATCAATAACAGTGCCGATCACCCAGTCTGCTCCACGGTGTCGCCCTGCTGCACTTTCTTACCTCACTGGGACGATCACTGCACCTGGGCCTTCATTAAAGGAACCGGCGTCACCTGTGGTTGGCCTGCGACCCATAAAAGGAGCCGTGAGAGAAAAGTCTGTTGTTGGGAGATGGGAGCAGACGTTCCTTACAGTGGCACATGTCACGAGATCAGGTTGACACAGTGAAAGAACATAAATTAATTATTAGACTGAGGAAGGAAGATTATCTTAATTTAATTCAAATAAAATCAAACTCATATCTTGCCTCATCTACTGATAAACACACTGCTGTAACCATGGTGGGGGCCTCTGCTGCCCCTAGTGTCCAGCCTCCACAGTTACATGTGAAGAGCTCCACTCCTCACTTAACAGACATCCAGAAAAAGAAGCTCTTGGAAACCAGCACACACGGCTTTCTCCTGTTATGGGGTCAGCCTGGAGTCAATATGAGGGAAGCCTGGCTCTTTAAGACTTGGTCCAATTCCCAGACTCAGCAGCAGATTGAGCCACAGGGGCCTTTGATTCTGGGCCTGTGATCAGTCACTCTGAATAGAGCTGTGTGCTCTCTCTGGAACATCGACAGGGTTTCATTCTGATTAATCAGCTCGATGTGTACATGCTTTACACAGTGTCGTTATGTGACATGAAGCTGTGGAACGTGTTGATCACATCATCAGGTTCGATTTCCGTGCGACAAAACCTGCGACCTTCACTGAGGTAGTCTTCTCAGTGAAGGTCACAGGTTTAAATCTTATGCACAACACAACAAATCATTTCGTGGCCCCTTTAAAAACACATTTTAATTGGTTGAACGGATTTTATTTTTCCAAAGGTATTCTGTGTATTATCCTTTCAAATCATCCATGTCTCCTGAAGAATGAAAGAGTTTATTAAGCTGTTAAATCAAACGATGCAGCCACCGGGCTCACACATATGTGCTGATCTCATCACTCTGGCCTAGAGTTAAATAGAAGGTAGAAGAAAAAAAACAAACAAAAAACAACCTCATTTGCACTTTTTAGATTTATTTGAAAAACAGATTTTTTGATGACCGACACCACGGTTGTATAAATCAACCGTGAGCCGGAACACACTCCTAAAAGAACAAATTCTACTTTGCAGCCGCATCGAATCACTCTTTTAGGCCATAATAAGCACTAACTTCTCTTTAAAATACTGTTGATGGCTTTTGGTTACAGGCTCTTCCCATTCTCGTGCCTGGCAAAGGTCTTTTATGGTGGGGGACATAATACAAGATTTCTGTTCTAGTGCAAACACAGTGGCCACGGGCACCAAGGAACAGCTGCTGTATAATTGAATTAGCATCCGCCTTCTGCTCCGGCACTCAGTGCAGTGCAGAGAACTCATAGCCGTCCCTCCATAAGTTCCATCAACCTGTCCATGAATATACATGATACTCGGGGTAAACATTAGTTCTGTGTCCGGAGTTTGTGCCGTCGCCTCTGCGGTGCAATAAGAGCAATGCGCTGACTGTCCTGAGAGGGCGACATCATTCATAATAAAGCAGTAAATCGATTTATTAGAGCTGCAAGCCCGGTGCAGCAGTGGTGCTGAACCATGGTATATGGAATCCAACAGCGACATCTAGTGGAAAAACGTGGTGGAGCAACGGCAAATAATGGTCATATATTATATTATATTATATACATACAGTATATATAGTTATTAGCTTGTGTTACTGGACTTTTTTCCATTACTATAGACAGTTACTATAATTAAAAAGTCCTGTATTTGTCCCACAATGTGAATATTATGTCAGATAGACATGAATCTAAAGACATAAATCAATATTTACTTATTCTTTTCTAAGGCTCAACTAACTTACCACAAAATACCACGGAGAGAAAAATGTTAGGTAAATAGCAGCTGGATTTAAACTAACTGAATAGCAGCTTAAAATGAAGAAGGTTAAAGTGAGAAAGAAAAGAAGAAACGACAGAAAGACATGATCTGAGCCCTTTGAGTCCAGATTTATTGATACAACTGTGCAGTCACAGAGCATGGTGGCACACACGGCCGCATGGCCGGCATGGGACGCACACACACACACACACTTGCACGCACACACACACACCGTTCACCACCGTTACTCCTACTCACCTCAGTGATTTTTTTTTTTTTTGACAAAATGTTAGAAGTGGGAGTTAACATTTGAGAATATAGATTTGTCTGATATGTAGGTTTAAAAATTTAACTTTTGGCTTTTTGTGGTGACGGTTGTCCATCCAGCATCACACCGTCCAATGTCACGCTGCCATTTTCTCCACACACACCCACCCACCCACACCCACCCACACACCCCCACACACACACTCTCATTGATAGAGCAGGTCACAGTGAGGAGATCAGAAATGCACATTTAGTATTCTCAGCAGTCTCTCTCTCTCTCTCTCTCTCCCTCACACACACACCCAGTCACACACATCCGTGATCTACATCCCTCTGACTTCAGTAAGCAGAACAGTTTGAAATCAGTCATTACAGAGAATAAACGAGGGGAAAAGCAATAAACAAACAACAATCTGTTCCAGAGGAAACCGTTACCAAACACCATGTTCAGCAGTCTTCACGTGTCCTAAATACGGCTAGGTTTCTAATTATGCTCTGTATAAATTACTGCTAAACATTCCTACAGTTGGCTATCACAGTAGCATGTGAAAGAGCAGACAACAAGACTGTACACGTGATCGGTCCTCGGTTCAGACAACCAGCTTCTGGTTTGTTTGTTCTTTTTAAATTGGCTTTTCCTCGGTATGCTTAAAATTTTAGAAATGTTTTTGTGGCCGGAGAGCTGGTGAGGATAAACACATTGAACAGATTCAACAAAGAAAGGCAAAAATTAGAGGGTGAAAAAAGTTACTTTTCCATTTCTTCTGAGTCAAAAAATAAAAATAATTAAAACAGTTCTTTTAAAGGGGAAAACATACACTGTAGTGCACGAAACGGCTAAAAATGTACTTGAAAAAACAAAACAAAACAAAACAAAACTATCCCATTATAAAAACTAAACCTCTGCAACATCAAATTGCAGACATTAAAGAATTTCCTGCCGTTTTCTAAAATACGCCTTCCCACGAGGCTGCTTCAGTGTTGAAATAGTGAAAGATTGTAACTCGTCGTTCGACTGAACCTGGATCAGCACAGATTCAGATGACATCACAAGAGTGGTTTGAAAGGTGTGGGGGAAAAAAAGAAAAAAAGAAGCACATGTATAGTATAAGTTTCAGCCAGGTGGCTTGCTAACCACTGACTATTTCTTTAGGTTTATAGTAGTGTCGTGTGACAAACGGGTGGGATTCTAGTGTTCCTGCTGGAATAGAAAAAACAAAGAGGATAAAAATAATTCCTACCTTCTAGAACCTCATAGAAAGAATTCTTTGTTCACCAGTTTTCAAACTAATATATATATATACTTATATATTTATATATATATAGTACACGGATTAGAATGGGCAGCAGTATTCACATGTATTGTTTTTTTTTGTTTGTTTTTTTTTTAACAACATGCCAAGAACACGATCTCGACACGATAAGTTCGGGAGATTCTTAAAAAAATATATAAATAAAAGTGCACAATAATTGAGGGGGAAAAAAAAACATACCCATATTTTTTTCAAATACTGCCCAAATGCTTGTTGCTTGTTTCCCTTCCTTTGTCATGTGTCAATACACACAAAGTACATAGAGCAGTCAAAGCCAAACCAGCAGGGCGGGGGTTCGTTATGGTACAAATGCACAGTAAGCAAACTTTGCATCTTCTTTTACACAGCATCACAAGCTCAAAAAAAACCCCCCCGGTAAACAAGAACGAGAAGCAGATACAGTTTGGACGTCGTTGTCACAAGCGCGATGGCTAATAGTTGTACAAACACAGTAGAAACACACTGGTTCAACATTACACCGACATCAGGATGACAAGCTGCTGGAGCTGAACAACTGCCTGCGACAGCTGCAGCACACGAGAAGGCATTGGAAATAATAACAAGTCTTTTCAACAACGAAACTACAGCGCCTCCGGTGGCAGACGGATGCAACAACAACAGGTAGAGGAACCGAACGAAAAGACTGTGTGTAGACCATGACGTCATTGATGCATCTGAGGGTGTGATATGTCTGATATATGTCAGATTTGCATTCTATTTCTTGGATTTCCTTCTTTTTTATACACTACATTATATTACAATATATTTAAAAAATATATTTGGACTGAAGAATTCTACTGTGGCTCCGTTCTGTGCATGTAAATTCAAATTTAAATATATTGTGAAGATGACATGAGACACGCACACGCGCGCACACATACATGAACTTTATCATCTTGGCTGCAGGAACAGAAACAGTTTCTGTTTTTTAAAGAAAAGCAAGAAGTGGAAAGGATAGGTATAAAATAGAGTTGCCCTCTGTCAAAACCAAGCTGTACTGCACTCACACTCTAACTGCTCCTCTTCAGAACGATCGTTTTTGCCGATGTTATTCAACGGTTGGTGCTCCAGGTTCCACACTTGGACTACGGAGCCTCTCTGTAGCAGCTGTGGAAGCTCCTCACCCTTCATATGTACGCAGTGCTTCTCTCCCAACACAGACATGTGAACGTAATGACAAACATAAATGAACATATTAAAAAAAAAGTTGCCAAAAACCTTTAAAGTTTAACTTTGATTTGTGATGCCAAAATCTAATAATTGAGTAACGAGAAGGGAAAGTGTTGAGGAAGATTTTGACCCCCCCCCCCCCCCCCATAACAGGAGACACAGCCTTTCACTGGCTCCTATAGACCTCTACCATCACCTGCAGTTTAAAAAAAACCCAACATATTTATATTTATCAATAAGCAGGAGGGAGTAATGCACATGGGTGTAGCCGTTATCTCTATGTACACGGGCACTGGAGTATAAATGCAGGAAAAGTAAAAACATCCCAAAGACGAAATGGAAGTGAAGGTGTGACTTTCTTGGTGTCCCCCAGAGGGCGCTGCAGTCCAAGAGATGGCCTGTGCCTCCAGCGTGAGCTTCTCCCAGTCGTTAGTTTAGAGACAGATTCAGTCCGAATTTGCTGGAAAAAAAATCAAAGCTGGCTTGGCTATTCCATCTCTTCTTCTGATGAAGACAGGAAAAAAAAACAAAACAATGGTTTGAAACAGACATGGAGAAAATGTATCATCTGATCCTACAATAAAAGTCCTTATAATACTGTCGTAGTATTTCATGAAGCTCCTGGTGATGAAAAGAGAAGAATTCTCTGAGCTGTTTCTGTCGTCAGCGTCAGTCAACTCACCGTCAACACTTTTGTTCTTGTGTGTTTCTGTCGTCAGCGTCAGTAACAAACTCACCGTCAACACTTTTGTTCTTGTTTTCCTGTGGAGACTCGGCTCCTTCAGACAACTCTCCTGAAAAAAAAAAGTTCAAATATTTTTGGTAAGTTACGTCACAACAGCGAGACGTTATAAACCATGTGACGGGGACAAACCGTTATGCAGAGGAGGAAGATCCTTTTGTGCCGTGCTTCCAGAACGTTCTCCCTCGTCCGTTTCCACCTTGTTTCCATCCGTTTGTCTGCTGACCTGTGACGACTCGGAGGGCGACTCCTGTTCCATTTTGTTCTCCTTTGGTTCTGGCTGTGAGGTCTGGGACTGGGCCTCCTGCGGCTCCATCGTCGCCTCCTGCTGGGCCCGCTCCTCCGCCTCCTTTTTAGCTCTTTCCTCTGCCTCTGTGGTCACACACACACACACACACACACGGTGAGAAGGTTTGGTTCCATCACTGGTCTAAGATGATTTAATTTGGTAGAAAAAGGAAAAAAACATTTTTTTATCTGCTGCTTACCATTTGATAGAAAAGGGGAAAAAAAAAACATTTTTTTATCTGCTGCTTAAGCCGTTGGAGGGTCAGGGGTCAGGGGTCAAGTCAGGGTTGGATTAACCTGGTCTCTGACCATCTACTGAGCTGGGATCTACTGTGTGTGTGTGTGTGTTTCTGGTGTTCCATCGGCCTCTCTCACACACAGTACCTTTGGTAGCCTGAGTTTTCCACCTCTCCCTGTTCTGATAAACCTCTTCGTTCCACAGAGACTTGAAGTTCTTGATGTCCACCGTCAGCAGGGAGCACTGGCCCGACGAGCCGCTGTCGGAGCCTGTGCTCTTCACACTGTGTCTCTTCGCTTCATCTGAGCTGATGCTGTTCAGACTGGACAGGTCAAAAAACACAGAGAAAGAAGTTGGTTAATATTAGTTAAAGTTAGTTAGTGACCAGTTATCCCTGTCACTGGAACCACTGTCATATTATTATTGATTTTTCTTTTTAAATATCATTGTATTCCTCTGACTAATTCTGTTCGTTTTAGTGACTTTTTTGACCTTTTTTTAAATGGTATCAGAGAACAAAGGTTAGTTGTGAGCTCTGGGTGAAAACAACAAAACACCTACTTTTCACCTCACGGGGGCGCTAAATGCACACTTTTCGCCATTAGGGTGAAAACAACAAAACACCAGTTCAAAACACTACTTTTCACCTCACGAGGGCGCTAAATGCACACTTTTCGCCATTCAGAGTAGGTAGCGTACTTGTTTGTTGAACACAGCATGTTAAGACAGCTAAAAATGTCACTTGTTGTTTGGGGGTTTTCAACACGGAGACATAATTAGAGTCAGAGCGACTTTTACTCTCGGAGGAATCCAAGGTAATTATGGCACTTAAAAACCACTATTGCCTGATTGCAGCAATTTGCATCAAATTTAGAACTCAATCTTTGAGTCATAACTCAGTCAATAATGGGCTGGTATACAAATTTTGACATTCAGTGTTAGTTATCATCACCCTGTTGTCTGTGGTAAATACATGTCCATAAATCTGTGTAGGAATCAGACGAAGCAGCTCATTAGGGCTCGGGGTTGTCTGAGAAAAGAAAAGAAAAAAAAGTTCGCACGAGCAAAAAACGGTGACATTTGTTTGTGAATTATGGTGAAGGGTAATACAGTAGCTAATTTGGCTCGATTCATAAAAAGAATGCCATTTATCCTTAGTTACAGCCAATGAAAAACCAAAGTAATAAATCAAATATAACATTAATTAGGATTGTCAAAGGCACGGGACAAACGTAGGGTGTTAGAGGAAAAATAAATCTGTCTCCATATTAGGAACAACACTGCAACTAAATAAGGACTCCATATTACTATTGCGAACCCTCAGACTGGACTGAGAAACCTTTGGTCCAGTCAGTGTAGTCGCTTTAACAATCACCTGATCACAACATGACACAGATCAACACCCGACAAAGCAAAAAAAATTAGAAATCTTCAGTCTTGGAACTTTTTGACCTCCCCAGGTATCAGTAATAAGGACAGAGTGTGGTGAGTCATGAATGTCATTGATTTTACTTCCAAAAAATGAATCCAATTAAGGACATTAAAAGCTCTGTCATCTGTAGACAAGCTCAGACCAAGAAACACAAGCTCACGGATTAGAAGACGCAGGAAATGAAAGGAAGACGGACGGGTAGATAATCAGGAGTGGACGTGGGGATTAGGCACAGACACAGATAACTGACAGTCGCTGCGGAGAAAAAGCAGCCAGGTGTGTTTGTAGACAAGGAGCAGCAGCAGCAGCAGCAGCAGCAGCAGCAGCAGCAGCAGCAGCAGCAGCAGCAGCAGCAGCAGCAGCAGCACTAACTGAGATTTCCACTCTGTTAGCTTCCTCCGCAGCAGCGATGCTAATGACCGGCTCATATTGACATGCAGGTGCAGCAGAAGAATCATGGGCCGACTCTGCGAACACTTCTTTATTGGACGATCATCAGATCTAACAAGGTGTCAACAATTTTGACAACTGACGGAGACACAAAGGGTTTCAGTCTGAAGAACAAGAACCCTGTTGGTCTAAATATTTATGAACATGAATCTATTGACATTATTTTAGTGAACAACTCTACAACTGGACAACTGAAAAGACAAAATGACAGAAAATAGATACATTCATAATTTTCCACAATTTAATAATAATTTATTGGTTCCATAAGGTAGCAGTTAGCTGGCTGCTAAGAGCAGAGTCCTGGGTTCGATTCCCAGAGGAACCAGATGCTAGATAATGATAATCCTCCTTCTGTAAGTCACTTTGGATAAAAGCATCCGCCAAATGTATATGTAAATAATTTCATAATAATAATCAATTAAAATTAATACAATTAATGAACTATTCATTCATTAATATCAATTCATAATTCGCAATAAGTAATTATATAATCTAAATTCTATGTCCAAAGATCACTCTGCCATCAGAAGTACTACAGTACTACTACTACAGTACACACACTGATCAAGCCTCTGTTTGCTGCAGCTCTGAAGCCCATTCTCAATCTTGACTGATATTTTTTTTTTCAAATATCAATTTCAAGGTGGGTGGCTCTGCCTGATGAGAGGTGGAGACATTTACACGCACGGAAATTGATTAGTCATTGGAGACTCATTTCAGCATGTCCATTTGATATGCTGTTGTCGCAGAGAAGCTGTCGGGCTTTAATCGCGTCACTGAGCGTGTACTTTCTCAGAGGAAGTATCCGCGGTGCAAGGCTGTAGAACGGTACATTTTTTGCATCCCTGATTAAACAGGCTGCAGACTGACTGATTAGAATTCACCCAGATTTACATAGAGTGACTCACTTTTCCTCCATTGCTGGGAGTCTTGCTGGTAAATAATGTCATGTGAGGACGTGCTGCGGCTCACCTGGAGCGTCGGAAGCCGGTGAAGCCGGAGTGGGAGGCCTCGTCGATGAGCGGCGTGACGATGCGTTCCATCATGTCAGTCAGCACAGTGAAGGTGGGAACCACGATGAAGTCGATGAAACCTGGCGACAGAGATATTAGTCAGTCCAGAACAGAATGTCGTTACAAATGTACGATACTCTGTCAGGAATAAAATACATTCAGGGAACCTGCTGTGACACCTGCTGTGTTTGAGAGGATGAGGAAGTAGAAATAGTCAACAATTGTCATCAAGTATGGGCAGTTTATAAAAAACGTTCACACACATACATATGTACACATAAATATAGACATTTAAACACATAAAAAATATATATGTACAAATACCGTATTTTCCTGGCTATAAATCGGTCTGGAGTATCAAGTCGCACTAGTGCCCTCTAGTGGCTACCTATAAATCGGTCTGGAGTATCAAGTCAGTGTGAAATCAATAAATGTAAATTTTCAGTGGAGTAGCAGATACTGGTACACAAGCCTAGAGTGCCCTCTAGCGGCTGTCAGTGTGAAAATAACAATATATAATTTTAATATAAAACCTAGAAAAAGGATGAAAAAAAGTGCGACAAAAATACGGTAGATAATTGTTCCAGTTCACTTAAACACATTAAACTCGTACAAATGAACTATGGTCGTGTTTTATATCCATCCTAAGGAAACGTTGAGAGAAGACACATGTTTACACAGCCACTGTGGAGGTATCTGAGGACCAGGAGAGACATCCACTCACCGATCTGAGATTGAGCCACCATTGTTGACTTTCGGTCACAGAGCGGTGAGAATGGGAGGCCCAGCTCGGACTCTTTGTCCCCCTGGAAAAGAAAAATCAAGAATCTCATTTTATAGGTTTTGAAAGAAAGAAAAAACACACAAAGCTTTCAGGCGGTGTATCTAGAAGAAATAAAACCACACACTCTGTGTGGATACACACACACACAATCAGCACACACCACATGCCCACGGTTCTGTGAAAATGGCTCGGCTTTGTCTCCTTCTTTTCTCAAGTGCTCGTGGGCCACAAAGGTGTTTCATTTTCTCTTGTGATTTGTCAGAAACAGATGAGATGTGGAACTGGGAGGCAATGTTCTTGAGAGAAGCCATTTATCTGCAATTCACATCCCAGGAGACGGAGATCTCGTGAAAGCAGCCACAATAACAATAGTGATAATGAGGACTGTGTGGATTAATAATGGAAGAGATAAAAGCCAGTCAAATGTCTGGCCCGGCCCGACACCATCACACAGGACTGTTTAGACTTAAACGCTCCGTCTCATCTAAGACTCAATGTTTAACAATTCCGTCCTTCCTGACACTTGTCATCGCGGTGCTTTTGAAAAGAGCAGATTGTCTGCAATTATCCCTGATTAAACATGAGTGCACATTTATCAAATATTGAATTGTATGAAGGGGTGAATGTGGTTGGAGCGTCGTCTACAGACACAAGTCTAATGTTTTCCAACCTCTCAGCTTTTTAGTAGCTTTCAATCTTTGTGACCCACACAGGCTGCCACTTGGGAGGCAACATGAAGTATGTGGTTCATCTGGGGGTCGAACCCAGGACCATCTGCACTACTAAAAACAAAAGACTATGACTATGACTATGTATGGTGTGGATTCACTCACTTGTCTGAAAAACTCCTCCAGTAAGGAGGTGGTCCAGCGATGGTGCAGGTCCCAGCTTTTGGCCGGATGGCTGATGTCTGCTGTGTGGAGCAGCAGGGACAGGGCTTTGGGCTTGTCGATGCTAATGAGGGAAATAGGAAAAAAAAAACAACAACATCAATCCATCTGTTCAGTGTTTTTCTTTTCTTTTTTTTACAAATACCTGGTAACATCACTAGTACAAAAACCTTAATCAGCTTTTAAGTTATTACTGAACTGTCATGTACTGTAGACCAGTGACCTGCGTCTAACAAAGGGCTAATGATATGACACCAACACAGCCCCCTCTCCTGGTCTTTCCATCGATGTTTTGTCCGATATTGATCTGGAAATAAAACAACAGAAATTTGCCACAAGGCCATGAAAAAATGGCATTTGACAGAAAGGAAGGAGAAAGAAAATTGTCCAGGACCTGAGAGCCCCCTGGTGATGAAAACAAGGAAAAAAAGTGTCACAGCTGTAAATGTGTCTGCAACAATCTGTCAGTAGAAATGGACACAGAAGGATGTTCAGTCCATGGTGTCATCATCTGTCTGTACAGGTGCAAAAATGATGAATCCACACATACTGTATATACATGTGTGTAAATACATACTGTATATATAGCATATTTCTGGTATTAAGTCATAATATATAAGTCACATCAGTGCATATGATTTATAGTCCGAGCTCAAGCCTCATCCCTACTTTATCAGCCTATTATTCTGTTTTAAAAACGTAAAACTTGACGTAAAACATGTAAATTTGACTCAAGCTTTCTTAAATTCAGACACTGACCTCCAAATATTAGATCAGGTGACGTGTTTGTGTGAAAACAGACGCACACCTTTAACCAGTGGACAAGGTTAAACAGAGGTGAGGGGCTTGAATTTCCTCCTCCTCCGTCTCTGGTAGAGAGGAAACAGTCCACACGAAGCAGATCTGGCACAGACCGGTTTAAATGACTTCACATTAGAGTCTATTCAGCATTAGAGCTTCCGGCAGAGTGCAATCTCCCAGTAATGTCTGTGTTTATGTATCTGGGTTTGTGTGTGTGTGTGAGTACTGAGGTACTGTAATACTCAGGTCAGTGAGGGTTGTATTGTATTTGTTTTTTGCATAAATACTTAGAGTCCAGTCTTGGAGCCGGTAATCATATTTATCTGAATGGAATTTAAAGGTCACCAAACACAAGGCTCTGGTCACGATCACACTCCGTGTTCATCAGGAAACACACAGCTTTCATTGTTTGTTTCTATTTTGCAAGTACTTTTTTACCTTCTCCTGGACATCAGACTCTAAAACTGACCACCACTCACCTAACTCTCAAACAGCAGGTCCTTCAAAAACAATTCTGTGTCTCAAACGTCACATTTGAGGACAATTTCTGAATGTATCACTGTTCTACGAGTTCACAGAGAAGGGTTCCATCAAAGAAATGTTTTTTTTTAAATGAAAGGGAATAATAGTTTTTTTTTTTAATTGAAAGGGAATAATAATATAAAAAATACAAAAAAATACATTGGAAGACATGGTAGCCCCTGTCCATAAGTCTGAAGTACTGCAGTACTGAGTCCCATTGTCAAGTCTGAAGTACTGCAGTACTGAGTCCATGTCTAAGAATTTTAATGAGACTAAGTAGTTTATTTAGGCTAAAGTTAAGTGAATGTGAATATTTTTGACTATTCTTTTTACCATTTTTTGCAAATATTTTGCAGCCCAGTCCAGCAGAGCTTCAATACAATTTACTGCAGTAAGAAATACTTGTGTCAACAGTATGTCTACAGGTACATGTTTTTATAGATTCCATGGCCAATGACTCAGTGTGTATTGTACAGTACTTAAGTGTAACGTTGCTTTGCACACAAAAAACCCAAAACCAAAAATTGACTGGCAGATTTTTGCAGTGTACAGTGAGGAGTGTGTTATTTTGACACACTGAGGATTTAATGTCCACTTCCCTGAAAGAAAACCCCCGCCTCATTCACCCCACATTGTCTGTGCTTGACCAGAATTCTGATTTCCTGAGTGAATTACAGCAGGATGAGTTCCAAATACGAAGCATAAATATTTATCAGGCCTCTTTAGCACACTCTTCAGGGCAGGGTTAATTGGGTTGTAAACAGTGGGTGGTTTTGTAAACAGCAGCTGATTGCAGGGTTAATGGAGGTTTGAATTGCTGGTTCGGGGGCAGTGAGCACAATGGGCAGTAAGAGAAACGACGACTCACCCCTCAGGTTGTTGTAGGAAGTTCTTCATGGCCTTCACTTGCTGGAAATGGCAGGACATGTCTGTGGCCAGAACCATCTCCACCACCAGAGCTCGCAGCTCCCTGGTCCAAAAAAAAAGAAATAAAAGAAATGTATGACTCGAAATGTCCTGTCAAAACTACAGCTATAAAAATTGTCCTGGAGAAAATCTCCAAACTGTCTCCTTAGATATCGATTAGATACAACTTCCTGTCACTCAGCTCTATCAGCTGTGTGCTGTCTGCCCCCTGCTGGGGTGTCTGGCTCTCTGACCTCCAGTCATCCTTGGACAGGTTGTAGAGGATGTTCATCTCGTCGTCATCCTGCAGCAGACGGTAGGCTGCGCTCACGTGGTGGCTCTCCAACACTGAGCGGTCGTTGTATAGGATGGCTGTGTCTGACCTGCCAGTCCAACACAGAGTCAAGTATTCAACCGGTAGACAGTTAAAAACACACAGAATAACTCTTTAACTCGCAGTACATCACGAAAACAGCCACAGGACGACAGGTTTATCAACAGCATTGCTTTGGCTTTTAATGTCTCTGTTGCCATTTTATTGGGTGAATTTATGCTGCGTGTGGTATAAGTGTTAACGACAGTCATATTTTCTCCTTTTTTCTTTCTTGTTTGCGTCATCAACGTTCTCTCCACTTTTGAATTGTTCTATTGTATTAGTCATTAAAAAAAATCTGATAAATGTTCTGTCACTCGTGGGTGTTTAGAGAAATGCTCATATATAAATATATATATATGTGTATAAACAAAAATGATCTTTTCATTAGTTTAAATTCATGAAAGTGAAAGGAAAAGCATTAGGACAAACAGCAGTGAGAATCCACAGGAGTCCTTAATTTAATCAGCTTTTTAAAATACATTGGATTTTATCTGTGGGTGTGTGGAATAAAAATGACTAAATGGAGATAATAAACATGAGAGTTAATTTGGACTTTGGTCAGGCTCCAGCGTTATTACTGCTCCGCAGGCCATCTCAGTGTGAGCAGAACGCCCCCTGCTGTAAATGAAAACATTGATCGGCTGAGTCAGTGCCATGAATTTTTGATTTTATGATCCATTACCTTGTCTGAATGTGGAAGTTGTTTGTGGTCCCTGTGTGCTCATAGTCGTGCACTGCTGCCGCAAAGATCATGGCAAAGATCTCCAGCTCAGTCAACCAGTGCTGGAAGCAGAGGAGAAGGAAGAGAGGGAAGACAGGGAGGTAAGGGAGGAAGGAAGGGGACGGAGGTAAGTGAGTAAAAAAGAGGGGAGATTATGATAAGCATGAGCATATCAAGGAGCGCATGAAGGCAGAGCGATGCAAAGAGGAGGCAATGAGATGGAAAAGGGAAAGACATTGATGGGAAAGGAAGAAGGGAAGGTAATGATGAAGAGAGCGCAGAATGGACAGAAATTACAGCAGAGAAATGAGAAGCCAGTCAATGGAAAAAAAATGAAAAATGCAGGAAATGGTACGTCGTTGCATCAAGATCGGGAGGCGAAAAAAATATATAATGGATACGGAGGGAAAAATACAGTTGGTGGAATAAGTTGCCATCACGGATGAAGGGAAACAAATGAGAAGAGACGTGTGGAGTGAGGAGGGAAAGGTCAGAAACGCAAAAAGGAAACTTTAGATAAGACAGGCTCTGTTGAGAATCACATTAAGGCTATTACTGAACGCTTTACATTTCCTCCCTCTGAGACAGCCCCAGTTTGTCAGTGCCACCACGTATACATCTAAACATCAATATTTAAGGTTTAAAAGAGCTTATTCTGTCCAAAGGTGATACTACAGACATAACAGTGTGTCTTCTCATTTATTGAAGGGTCATTTTATGACTGAAGAGCAAGTTTTTAAACCTACTGTAGGTGGCTTTATATCATTATAAGTGACAGATTAATAGACTATAATAGAGACCATAACACTTTAAATATTAATAATAATAATAATGATAAATATTATTATTATTATAGTCATATAGTTGCTATTATAGTCTATTCATATATTATCAAAAATGATAATAACAACAGTAGTTATTATTGATCATATTAATTATGCTGTTGTTATTATTATTATTATTATTATATTATTATTATTATTATATGACTAACAATAAAAATGTCTACCTGTGTTTCACCTCTACAGCTGAGATTTTCCCTCTAAGGAGTGAATGTTGTGAGTGCTCTCACGTACACAGAACGGGGATTTAGCCCGGTCAATACTGGTGACTAATCAACAGCAGGAGGTGGTGGACTCATTAAGAACGTAGTGATGGGAGCAAGATGGCCAATCCATCCCTGGGTATATTTCCTCACGGGCCTTTTTTTATGAATGACCTGTTGATTGTTGACTTAATGGAGTCTGGAGGCCTCGCGAAAAATGATGTATGTTTTTCTGCGGCCCTCCCAGGAGCCCGCGTTTCCAGCAGTAATGTGGTTTACGGCGCCGCCCAGAGAAACACAACGTGTCGACAGCTGTCGCGGCCGCCTTATTAAGGTGATTAAATAAAAACAATGGAGACCGGGGGTGGACTGTGAATTGAGTATTTGAACTCAGCGAGAGTTTGTATTTTGATATAAATGCAGAATAATGAATGACTCCAGAGGGAGGGAGTGCATTACAGGTCAGCTGATTTGACAAGTGAAAACAAGAACAGCATGATATATGGAGACACGGTGTAATGTAGTGGCAACAGGATTAGCATTACTTAGTATATTCAGAGAGCGATGATGCCATTTGTAACACTTTTCTAAATATATTTCTGTTTAAGAATCTGTATCAGGGACCTGCTTAAAAACAGTGTATTTAATGGATGGCTTATTTAATTATCCATTGAAGAAAAATTCACATTTAATGAAGCCACACGTCAAGCACTTCTCTCACATAGTGGTTTTCAAAGTGGGGGCTGAAGACCTCTGGGGGGGCCCTCAGAAAATGGAGGAAGATCATTTCACGCCTAACACTTAAACTGCTGTAGTTGTCAGATTCCGAAGTTTCCGATTGCTAGCGTATAACTACGTTTGCTGAGCTGTTTTGGGGGGGCCTTGGCATGGCAGGCCATCCACTGTTACCGTGGGTGACCTGGTGCGGTCATGTGTACTCACCACCATCCCAGTCTTCAGGAGCAGGTAATGCACAGTCTGTGTGACATCAGCAGCGTGCATCAGGTTGTGGTAGGGGTTTTTATGTTTGCTGTATCCAACTTCCAGGGCCTCCACAAACGACACCACTGCAGAGATGGGGATCTGGCGGCAGACAGGAAGCCGTGAGTTAGACGAAGCACCGGCGACAACTTTTTATGAGTAGCGTGCAGAAGAAAATGAGGAGCATATGCAGTGGGAATACAATCACAGACTATCTGGAGGCTCAATCTGAAGTTCTGCAATCACTGGTGGTGAGTAATTGAGGCCACGGCACCTACTACAATTACTGGTTCCTGTCTGCATCATCGCCCGTGTCATTTATTGTCTGATGACGGTGCTTAAAACACAGAGTTCCTCCACCATAAAACGCTGTGGAAAATGAGCGGCAGCAGCATCAGATGTGATTACGTTTGTCTAATCCTCCCTGGTATGGTGCTCAACAATAAAATCTCCCCCATGTGTAAAACGACAGAGTGAGTTTTGCCTGTAATCGTTATTACATGTCCCTCCATTATTAATGACATGAACAGAGGTACGGCGGGCCACAGTAGGTCACGTCCATGTGATGTTACCTTGAAGCGGCTAATGAGGTCATATCTTGTGAGTAACTCGTAGAATATGAATTTAAGTGCGTGCTCCCCGCTGGCCTCATTAAGAGCAAAGACGTCAAATGACCACTTGTCAACATTCTGTATGATAAAGAGAGAGAGAGAGAGAGAGAGAGATTATGTAATAACAAGCTTCTGCTGAGAGAACAGTTCATTTTAAATGAAAAAAAAAACAAAACAAACTTGCATACATTTAGAATCTACTTATAAACATTTTGACTGTTACTGTAATAATGTCATTGACTTGAACTACTCAGTGGAGCTTTGTTCAACTAGGCTATAGCTTGAAGTAAAATATTGTGCTTTATTTTTATGCATGTGGAAGGTGTTTTCTAAGTTCAACAAACTGCACACATGTACATGAAGTTAGAAATGGTTGTTTACCACCTAAAATAACTTGAAAGGATAACTCCCCTGGATGTTAATTTAATAGTAAAAAGAGTCAAGACCAGACCAAATATTTCAGGCCTCAGGTCAAAGGTCAAAAAACAGTGATGTTCCACTGCACCCAGGAGCAGTTACCTCCTGGTCCTGCATGTCACCTGTAGCCAAGTTCTACATGTACTGTACACTAAATGCAGATACTATGTTAGGAAGGCTCAATATAGGAATGTCACAGACGCACATGCATTCATTAAAACAATACCCTCCCCTTCTCCTCCCCCTGCCTCCCCTTCCACCCAGGGTATTTACCATAAGGAGGCTATGAGTGCACTTGACACCAGTGTAACTGGTCTAATCTTAAATGGCTCTTTTTCTGGTCTTGACTTGGAGCGGTCCCAAGTGCCTTACAGAACAATCGAGTCAGACCGCTCCAAGTGCCTTACAGAACAATCGAGTCACCCATCCTCACCCGACTCCCACAGTCATACAGCGCATCTATTTGTGCTCTCCCTCTGTCACACATCTTTAATCCCATTCATATGCTGCCAGCACACCTGCCAGGAGCAACTTGGTGTTAAATGACTTGGCAAAAGCTGCTGGCATGTAGACCAGTGGAGCCTGGCATCAAACACCTGACCTTTTTATTGCCTAATAATAGTTTCTATAACCTTCACTGTGATGGATTAGTATTCCCAGTTTTGACCTGTGGTAAACAATGAAGGACACTTCGATAAGCTCCAACACTTCATGTCATAAACACAAAATCCTCATCACTGCCAACCCCCCGCCCTGCCCCCCGTTTGTAACTTAAAAGAACTCAGGACTGGCAGCTTGATTTCAGCACGTTCGCTCACGCAGTTGATGGGGCTCTTCTGTTTGGCTGTATGTCTGCATGTTATTACCTTAAGCACAGATATGACAGATGGGGGATAGCTGAGTCCCACCATATTGGAGGTGCGCCGGTACATCCTGTTAGGAGAAGATAAAAACATCAGACGGAGCGCACCGCTGAGTGTAAATACCACAGGTTACTGCTTCGCCCCAATCCACGACGTCCCACTAAGACTTCGTCTTCACCTTCAGATCAACTCGAATCAGCATGGAACCCTGTTCGTAAAGGTTACGTTGAAACACAAAATATGTTTTGAAAAATGAATTTTAAGCTTTAATACCAATAATAATAATATTTATTATTATTGGTATTATTATTATTATATGAATAATAATACCAATAGTTCAGCATAACAATATAACATATATCCAGTTATACAATATAACTATATAATATTATATACTAACTATAAATATTATGTTATATTATATTATATTATATTATATTATATTATATTATATTATATTATATTATATTATATTATATTATATTATATTATATTATATTATATTATATTTACCAAAGTATTCTAATGTCGTTTACTGCTCTTGTCTATTTTGTGTTTATGGTAAAGCCATGTATAAAATACCAAGACGGTGCACCTGCCTGTTGAGATGCTGGGTCATTAAAGCCTGCTGCATGCAGAGTGCTGCGTGCTATCCTTGGTGATGAACACAACAGGGAACCAGCTTTCATTTTTAGCTCATCAGAAAGACGTGAAGTGACAGAGTGGCTGATAGTGTGTGTTTGAGAAGGGATACTTGTGTTAGGAGAAGATATTTAACACTGACATATGAAGACATGATTCTTAGATTCTCTTTGACACGTTTTTTCATTATATCTTAGTCAGGTATTAAACTGTCACAGTTTATTTGATCAGGTTTTTAAAACCTTCAAATGTGAATGATTTTAAATTGGGTAGTTATTAAAGCTTCTCTGTAGATTTTAAAATAACTTTATGTGATTTGTTTTCTTTTCTATAACATACAGTGTCAAAGTTTTCCAGTAGTGATTTTAACATAGTTCAATTCAACTCTGAATAGAAGAAATATCTATAATTATCTCAGTGGATTCTTTGTTTTCAAAGTCTTCAAAAGGGGGTTCTCAACCCCTACGGGGTCCACGATAGTCCTGCAAGGGGTCATGAAATGTTCGCTTGTTTATACTTTTTCACATTTTTATTTTTTCCCCGCATTTAAGAATAAAAATGTGTATTACTTGAATAGCTTTGTAGGAAATGTAAATTATTTTACTGATTGAAATATCAATAAGATCAATTCCGCCTGCAGCAAATTCACCACAACTGACAAGATGAGTAAAATGTGTGTTATTTAGATACAGGTCCAATCTAAAGGTGTTAATAGATTTGCTGTTAACCAAGAGTTCAACACTACTTTGCTTTGTCTGGCCAATAATTGGGGAAGGAAACCTGAGGTGATAAGGGACAGGCTGTAAATAACTATGGATTCTGCCTCCATCCCTGTGGATAATTGTTATCGAATTCTTCTGCATCACGTCCAAAGTTACCTCTCAACAAATATTCCCGCTTGCACCGCGTGGACGATGCTGCGGAAGCGCGGTTTCTCCTCATTGCGCCGCAACATCAAGCCCATCTGTCGCGTGAAGGTGGAGGCCAGCCAGTCCCGCACCTCTGAGGGGACCGACTCTGACTGGATGTCACTGAGCTCATCCTCTGTGTCGAGCAGGCGTCTGCAAACGAGGGAGTAGAAAGTCAGGGAGGGAGGAAGAGGGACGGAAGGAGGGATTAAAAACACAGGATGGAGCAGAGAAACACAATGAGTGAAGAGAGCAGAGGCCCAGAGGAATATCTATCAATTACTGCAAGTCTGTACTTTCACATTGGATCATGGTCCAATCCCAGCACTGACCTTTAAATAAGATGACCTCTGACTTAAGGTCAAAACACCACCCGGATCTTTTAAACAACACGATGAAGAATTCAAATCCAACCATCGTGCCACACTGTTTGGTCACCACGCTGTCATTTAATGCCAGATTTGACGACAGAGATATGACTTCATAAACACGGTGCTACATACAGCTGACGTCGACCGTCCTGAGTGGTCGCGCTGTCACTGGCTCTAATCTCACTGGATCTAAAGGACAAGAGGCTTATGTCATTCCATAAGCCTGTTCTTAGCTCAGAATCTGGAGTTTGTCCGCAAGCGTAAACTGATCTGCAGTGACAACATCAAACCTAAGTCATTCCAATTTAATCACGGTCTGGTTCTGAATGACATTTTTCAAAAACAAACAAAACAAGTGAGTGGAGGAGGAAGTCGATAAAGTCTCCGACCCAGGGCGACATAAGTGTGAAACTCGGTGTAACCAAGCAGACTAAATGGTTGAAGGAACCAGATGAATCGCAGTCGTGCTGTTGTTTTCAGTGAATGAAACCTATTTGTACATGTTTTCCACGGCCTGGAGCCGTTGTTTCTTACCTCGTCTCCTCGATGTAAACAGATTCCAGCACCGACGCGGCGTACTCAAGGTTTTTCTTGAGGTCAGCGAGGGAGGCTTCTCCTCTCTCCAGCTGCTTCACCAGACATCTTAATCTGAAACAGAGATTCAACAGACCTTTAACAGGCGGCTGCGCTGCCCTGCCATGTTGACATAATAAAATAACTGCCACAGATAATCAATTAATCTGTCATGTACTATTTTCCTCCTACGTGTCTGTATGTGCGGCAGGGTAGAGTTTGTTTTTCCTCGCTCTGTGTAAATAAATAAATAAGAAATCATTAAATATTGACGATGCAGCCCAGAGGTACAGTGACCAGCCGTACCAGCAGAAAACCAGGAAATGGAGGAAAAAAAAAAGATTTTTTTTTTGGTGGTTAGTATTTGCACTTAAATATACCTATAATGTGTCATTATTAGAGATACTGCACTCATCGGTACCATCAAGAACAGACCAAACCAGTGAACGTGCTGGTCTTGTTTGTCACTCTCTGCGTTTAAACACGCTCTGTAACACTGACAGGTTTAACGGCACCGTCACATCAAGGAGAACCCTGAAAACAAACATCTCCTGGTCTGAAAAATTGATTGACGTTTCACGGCGTTCTCTACCAGCCCTCAAGCCACTGTGGCTTCAAACAGCCCGACGTGTCAGCCACAGCTTTAATTAACGGCATTAATAATAGCAGCATTACAGCCACTGTGCATGTGTCAATCTCCTGGAAGCAGGTATTGTGCACGTTGAACACGTCTAATTGAGGCCCTCATTACCGTTATTAGTTGCTCTGACACATTTCCACTCTGAGCAGTGGAAACCTGTGCCGACGGCTCTAAACGTCAGCTGTTCTTTTTTACACGGACATTTTAAATGGATTTCATCGGTTGGTGGCTTTTCACTACTTTGATATTTAAATTTGATCACTTTTCTGTCAATCAAGCCTCACTGTAGTCGGGTGGCTGCTTTTAACCACCACCATAAAGAATGATGTGTAAATAAAGCTAAAGTTCTAATGTCTTGACATTATTATTGACCTGTTAAACAGAATGGAACTGAACTGAGTGTATTTTTGGATTATTTCGATTCTATTCAAACCTTTATTTACAAATATTCCCTTGTGTTTTTTCTTATGTTTTTTTGGTTTCAAATTCAGTTCAAGTCATATCAGAAGACCAGCCACAATAATAACAATAATAACAATAATAACAACCAACTCAGCCACTTAACAACAGTGTGTGGCAGCGGACCACCTGCTGCTGTGATCCAGGTCGTGTGCCCACGGAGACGATGCTGTTGTTGAATTATTAAGCTAAGGCGGTTTTCAAGGTCTTCCGTCGATGGAGTTCCCTGACAATAGTTCAAATGTCCATGTAATGACACTGCACCACGGTGACTCATACATAACATTTTCATTAAACTGCAGGGGGGAAAAATTAAAGGCACAGTCGTACACTTTCATCCGGTTGCGAGACTTGCAATTATATTAAAATAAAATGCCCAACACGACATTTTACTTTTTCATTTCCTTCCTTCCAAACTGCCACAGGTCATAGTTTTCCACTTTCACACTGAAAGTGCGTCTAATGAAATGCCCTGTAGCTGCTTCTGTTTCTGTTTACACCAGATTGGTTTTCTTCTTTTTTTTTAACTTGCATCCTCACCTTTTAGGTTAAACACAAACAATTCAACTGCTTTGATTATAATTAGCACAAGGGCTGTACATGGGAGTGACGGTAAGTGCTGATGCCCTACAATGAGAAGGTCAGTGGTGAGAACACCTGATACTCCTGTTGTGTGGAGTCTGCACCTGTCTGTAATGTGTGCAGGGACTTATACTTTTTTTTTTTTCATATAGAAAAACCATGACATGACCATGTGCCTAATGACTCCAGTGATTTCCTTCATTGACAAATACGTCATGGTTGACATCATGATTTGTTGCCTCAGAGTTTAACCTGAGGCAGACATCTTTGTCGTTTGTCCTTCAGTCAGGTGATTTCAAAGGCAGCGTGAGCGCTACGCTAACCAAAATAACTGAACCGTCGGCGCGAACGCACTCGTATACTATGACACCAGCTGCTCCACATGCTGATGCCTCTCTTGCTTATAGCCGAGCTATTTTAGGAGTCAAAGGCAGTTAATGGAAGAATACCAAGCTGTGACTCTAGAGTCACGGCACATGTGATTCGGCTGGCACTAATAATAGTTATTAAGAACAGCTGTGTTCTACCTCCTTCCACAGAGCCACTTGTCAGACTGTATTTCACCGCACGCTGTTGATTTTTTTTCTCTGCTGGCCGTTTGGCTTTGACTTCACTTCTCGTGGTGCAATGTTTCAGTCATGACGTACGCTACCGTCGGCAGACGCTGCACTTTGTAGAAGAGTGAGGACAAACTCCACTACATGGACTCATGTCATGGTTTTGGTAAATATATTTACACCTCTGAAGTGCAGACATAATGCTAAGGTTTAAGTTGACGACGAGGACAGGGTTTAATATTTGGACAAAATCTAAAAAAATGCATTTTAATATGAGTGGGTGATTATAATAATCCCGAAGCCTGCATTAGATAAGTCGGCTCTGAGGATCCGCTTTAGTCATAAGCTACGGCTGAAAATCATTTGGAGAAAAAATATTTGACAAACACTGCAGTGCAACTATCAGAATAAGTCATAGATCTGGGTTATAGCAGCAGCAGCAGCAGCAGACCTGGACAGAAGTGAAGTTGAATTTGCAAATGGAAGCTATCAACAGACAAACAGTATGATGAGCGTTAACAGAGTCGTCAAGATAGAGTTTTTTTTATCTTTTGTTCAGAGCTGAGTGTATTTCTGCTATAAATACAACAAATAAAAAAAGTCTGCACTTTTATTGCTCTTCACCCTGTGATAAGAATATATAATAATTCAGTGTTTCTGAATTCACAGACTTTTTTTTTTCTAATTTTCTAACCTGAGATGAGAAGTGACATACACTGACAGTCAGGGTCAGGCCCACAGGAAATCCTGGGCTGAGAGCCAATGGAAATGTTCTGTTAAGAATGAAGATAAAGCTGGCAGGGAAGCAGCTACTGGTGAACACCTGCTACTGCAGTGAAGCAGTCTTTTATTTTTTTTCTGGACTTCAAATAGTTTTTACATGGCTTCCCTTGGATTACCTGTATAAACTGGTGATATAAAATCATTGATGGGAAGAAAGAGGAGAAAAAACTCTGTCAACCCAAATATTTGTCCACAGTGCACATATCATGACAACACTGCAGGAACCTCCTCTGTGGTCTTCATCTTTTCTGCAGCATCTCTCCTCAGCGTGTGTGTCTAAACCATCTCCACCTCCCTTTGAACTCTCTCCAAACAGGTGAACCTTAGCTAGTCTTCTGATCTCATCATTTCAAATGAAAATCTTAGCATCTCTCCAAACCACTGTCCACTGATGCTGATGTTTTACAACCAGGTATTTTAACACAGAAGAAAAGAGGTTCAGCCTCCACGTGATGAGACTCTGCTTCACAACTAAAACCATTTTTAGGGCACACATTGCATTATTGGGTTTTCATTATTGGTGGAAAAACCGGTAACGGTTCTTACAGATATTACATAATATAAAAATATAAACGGTTAAATTTGGCCCTTCAGTACCTGCTCACATTAATATAAACGGTCAGCCAATACTGTCGGATATCCCTACTAAAAACTCATAGACAATTTGGCCCTTCAGTACCTGCTCACATCTGTATCTCAAACTCCTTCATCTATGCGATGTGAAAGCCCGTCTGAAAAATTAGGTTTTGGTTTGAGACTTGATATAGATGAGTGAGCAGCAGTTCTGGATGTGAGGGCCCAGGTTGTTGATGGTCTTGTAGGTGAGAAGCAGAATCATTTAAAAGACACAAAATCTAATGTGGAGTCCATGGAGGACAGTGGACGCAGGACAGGAGTTTTGAACTCGCTGCTGTTTGTAGACTTGTTTATTCAGGACTCCAAACAGCAGTGAGTCAAGGTGGAGTGTGACCCGTGTGTGAATGAGGGAGGCAGCACTGTTGGGTGAGAGCGAGGGACAGAGGCGGAGGATGTTGGAGAGGTAGAAGGAAGCTGACAGAGTGACATTATTGATGTAATGAAAGAGTGCTGTCGAGGATGACCGGCACCTTGGATCTGAACTAGAAAACAGCCTTGGTGTTTGATAAGAGTTGGAGCTGGTGGTAATTTTGTGCTTTTATTTTGTCATTTTCTGTGGTAATGGGTGCGAAAGATTTTAGACCAAAGATGAAATTCAATTTATACTTAATTGATTAACTGTCAAATCCACTGGGGTAATTTTTAACCCCAGAGGACAAAAGGTGAAAGGCGTCTGGGAGGGCATTACAAGGATTAAGGAAGTACTAAAAAAAAAAAAATAGACTGCTGTGTGTGCCACTGAATAAAAATCCCTTCTTTGATTCAAATGTACAGCAATATATCAAATTCAACCTCAGGATTCTTATCAATCCAGACAACATGGTGTGAAACCCAGTCCGTTGAAGCTGCAGAGGAGACAAGTCGCTGCCCTGAGCAGCACCTCATCTTTGATGTCTGCCTCCAAGTCCTACTCTGTGGCGTCTGCTGTGTGACAAGTCAATATTTCACTGAGAGCTGGGGTCAGCTGTCAGAGCCGGACTTGGAGGGATGGTGATATAATTGCGCAGGATGGAGCTTCAATCCACAAAAGGCGGTTTGAGATAAATGGAACTACAAACCCGTTGGATTTGTTTCAATAGCAGAAAAAACTGATTTCACTTCTTTGTCCAAGATCATTTTTAAAAATGTATTCACAGGCTGCATGTGTTGTGAGCACAGACACAACAGTAACAAACAGCAGAGCTAAGCAGTGCTAGTGCAGGAGCATGGGAAAGAAATAAGCCCCCAGCTGCCCACCACTATAGCTGAAGATGAAATATTTATTTGTTTGTGGTAGGGGTCAACAGGAAGCACAAAGGAGATTAAACACAAATTCAGGTTGAGAGCATTTCCCTCCCCTGTTCCTAATACATCCAATCTTAGCCTGGGCTGACCTGCACGGAGAGGAATGGGGCGAGGGAATGAAAGCACAGAAATTA